GACATGTTGTTTGATAACTGGCTCTGAATGATTCAGAATGTACTTCAGTGCTGAATCATTCAACACTGTTTTGTTGAATTAGTCAGTACTGAATCATTCAGAGGTGCAAAACAAACGCGCTGAATGTTGAACGGTTCAACATTCAGCGCTCAATGGTTCCATTAAGAGGCAAACAAACAACCCCTAAGTTTGTCTCAAGAAGTGAGTCATTCCCAAGTCAAGCAACATAGGCATAATGCATTATCATTATCAAGTGTTGCAGACAAATTCATTTATTTTCAAGATCATGTAATGTGTGATGATAAAATGAAAAGACAGAAAAATAGCTTACAGTTTCGTCGTCTCTAGCACTTGGCCTCAGTCTGGATCTCCTAAAAGTATCGTGGCTACTATCGTACGAAGTTTTTCCTTCCCATGCAGGTGATGCCATGCTACCTCTCCCCATGCCTCGTGCCTGGTGATGAAGAGGTGATTTCTCTAGGCTGTTTTCAGATCCAATACTTGATCTTGTAGGGCGTTTTGGTGCTTTGCCGGAGCTTATTGCAAGTCCACAACCATAGCGTGAAGGAGTACTGTCCCCAGAGGGTCTGCGGTTGACATTTTCGTGTCATGTCGGGGAATCAACATATTGCCTGAGGTAACCTTCTTCCCTGGTCTTTCAACGTTCGTGTACCGTTCTAGCAGGTCTTTGACCTACCGGTCCATCCACTTCCGGTTTTTCTCTCGAAGTAAGATTAGACCTAGTTGGAGATACAAAATCTTAATACAAGTCCGAGCTTTCTTGGGGATCATTGGGGTTTACAATCTTTGCTCCAGCGCGACCCTGACCTACGTTATCGAAATAAACTGTGTACGGAACATCCTCTTCACCCTCCCAATTGCCAAACTTGGGCACAGGGGAGTGCTGTTGTCGTTGCTGCAATGGAACAAAAGCTTGTTGTTTAGGATAATACACATTAATGGAAACAAACAAGGATGGGTCGAGGTGTGCTCGGGGCACGATCGTTCCCCTGGAAACTTACACAACAGAATCACACACGCAATGAATTTGTGATGATGAACATATACAAGTTTTATCGAATTCGGAACAAACTAGATACGAACACACAGATAAATCAGTCTTCTTTATCCAATTTGATCGACATTGTTGGATGCTTTAATTTTTTTATTATGAAGTTAGATCCTTATAAGCCCAGATCAGAAAACAAGCCGAACATGAAACGCATCATATAAAATCTCATCCATCCAAAGGCTCATTTCAGTAAATCAATTACCTAAAACAAAAAAACATCAACAATAAAAAACCAATATTTACAATACAAAACATGAAACACATCATATAAAATCAATTAAAGAACTAAAAGGAAGCACATTAGAGGAAAAAGTATTGACATGTAATTCGGATTTTCTGTATTGACATGGAACATTAGAGGGCTGGGTAAAAAGGAAAAAGTAAGAGCAGTTAGTCGGTTAATTGAGTCAAATAGAGCCAGTATGGTATTGTTGCAAGAATCTGAAACTGTGGTTATTCTTGTTTTTGTTGAGAGAACGATAAAGGGCAAAATAGATAGGGAGATAGTTGTTGCTCCGGCTGAAGGTTTTTCAGGTGGCTTAATTTCTTTGTGGGATCAGAACGCTTTTAGTGTTAGTAGCCATACTGTTTCCAGGAGATTTATAGTGCTAGAAGGCTTGCTTGTTCATCACATGTTGAAAATTGACATCATAAATGTATATAGGCCGAATTTTTATGGAGAACGTGTCAGCTTCTTCGATCAGGTGAACAACATTATCGATTCTCTGAAGCTGACGGTTATAGTGTGAGGGGACTTTAACATTGTTAGGAAGAATTCTGAAAGAACAAGAAATCATGACAATTCTACTTCAATGTTGTTGTTCGAAAACTTTATTTCTAAATGGGATTTGGTAGATGTTCCTATCTCTGGCAGTGTGTTTACATGGTTAAAGGTTGGATCGAGTTTGGCAGCTAGTAGGCTTGATTGTTTCTTAATTTCATCCAAAATTGTGTGCTTATGGCCGAATATGTTGCAAACTACTTTACCTAGAAGTATGTCCGATCACAATATTGTTTTGTTATGCGAAAAGAATTAAAAAAGTCCTGTAGGCTGTTCAAATGGTTCAACCATTGGGCGGATGATCCAATTGTTGCCGATAAAATTAGGGTGGTTTATCGAGATAACAAAGGTAAAGGAATTATCAATGTACTGCTGTCAGCTAAGTCATTGATTAAGGAATGAGATAAGTTAAGAAATGAGTCGAAGATCGATTCGATTGAGGATTTGGAGTTAAAAATCGACTCTTTAGAAAAATTGTGCCTCTCGAATCAAAGTAACTTGGTTTCATATTCTGAACTTTCTTCTGCGAAGATTAAATTGTGGACAGCATATAGAAAGGAATAAAGAGATTGGCTGCAAAAATCGAGATTAAGGTGGTTCAAAGAAAGCGATAAGAATACTAAATTGTTTCACCTTACTGCTGCAAT